TAGCCAGCAGCTATGACCAGCACTACTTGTGCAGTTAATAAAAGGACAGGTAATGTTTGTCGCGCTGTTGCACACACAGCACGCTCGTTTGTTTCAGTTCGTCAGTTGCCACAAGACAACTTACCAACATGTACGTAATAAGCTAATACTCCTGTGTGCTACACACTACAGTATACGCTTACTGGTTTTGTGGCAGTTGCAAGCCAGATCCTTTTATTTAGCAAAACTGTGATTAATAGTTAAATATTATTGTTGAGGGGCACAGACAAGACTCCGCACGCACACACACATAAAAAAAAATAAAAAATTTTTTTTGAAAAAGTTGCCTCAACAAAAGGGCACTTTGGGCACCCATCTCTGCACGTGTCTGGTGCAGAAAACATTTCTCACATATTTTGGTTGCAGTCGCAGTTGTCTGCTATACATCGTTTGACCACATCTCTATGGTGCTCTCGGGCCATTTGAGTAGACTGAACTCATTGTGAGGTTCAAGAAACCAGTTTGAGATTATCCAAACTTTGTGACACGGCTCGCTATCCTGCTGGGAGCAGCCATAAGAGAATGGACAAGGTGGCAGAACTGGAGTAGGCTGTGGTGTTTAAATTATCAGCTGGTACTAGGGAGCCCAAGTGTGCCAAGAAAATAAGCTCCCACACCATAACACCAGCAGCACCCTGAACTGTTGATACAAAGCACATGCACCCATCACTTCATGTTACTTACACCAAATTTTGCTGTCCAAACATCGCTGTAGAATTCTTAAGTCATCAGACCAGCCAATGTTTTTCCAAATTTGTAAGACCATGCTCAAAGTTTTGTAGACTCACTTACCTGTTCTTAGCTGAAAGGAGAGGCACCTGCTGAGGTATTATGTTGTGCATTCAGACATGCTCTTTTGCATACCATGGTCAGCTAAAAGCAGATTAACTATTCTTCTCTGGCTTCAACGCCATCAGGGAAGCAGTTTGGCACAAAGTACTGACCGTTTTCTGTAAACCCTAGAGATGGTTGTCTCAGTGGGAACACCAACTATGCTACATTCAAAGTGACTTAAATTACTTTTCTTTACGATTTTTATGCTCAGTTTGAATTTCAAAACTTTAAATACATTTAGTTACTGCCATGCTATTGGGCGATTAAATATTTCTGTTTAATGAACAGGTGAGCTGAAGACTTTAGTCCATGTTTGTGTGACCTTCCGGGGTTAGAAATGACCCATATTATTCTTCTCTGTGGAATATAACAAACTTTTAACAACTTTGTATATTTTGTCAGGTCCTACCTTGCTGTTTGAGAAGGTTTGTAAAGGAGGAGAAAAAAGTCGGAGGTTTTATGCATGTTCGGCCTGTCGAGATAGAAAAGACTGCAACTTCTTTCAGTGGGAAGATGAAAAGGTAGGCTTACTGGAAAATTCCAGAGCTCATGATAAAACGATGTAAGACATCGATCAGTTTGTTTCAATTCACTTGCGTCAAAGGTTTCAGAAGCCAGGCTGCTGGCCAGAGAAGCAGAGAGCCAGTCAACGAGGCCCCCTTTCCCCCATAAGGAGTACTGCAGCAGGTGAGATTTTATACTCATTTTGCTTATCTTAGGCTGTTTATAAAGCTTCATTTTATTTATTTAATGCTGATTTTGTATGGGATGACTTTTAGGATATTTGTATCTTGTCCTTCAGATTTCAAAAGTTTGTCTCGCTCCCTCTGGACGAGAAGAAGTTCTGTCAGGACTGTCAGATTCTGCTCCTGCCAGACGAGCACAGCCTTCACTCTGCTCACATATCCACTCCCATTACTGCAGCACAGCTGAGGAGGCCCAGTGCACTGTTGCGTCCCCTGAACAACAAGAAGAGCAACGCACAGTACCTTTTCACGGACCGCAGTGCAAACTTTCTCTTCGATACTTTAGCAGGTCTGGGATACAGGAAAATACTGTGTGTGGGCACACCCAGGTGAGACAGACACAAGTGTGACCTTTGAATGTATCAGAAAATTTGTCTCGGTTATAGTGAAGCATCTTGTCTGAACTGCCTCGATGAATCAGTTCATCTGGTGACTTAAAGCAGAAATGGAGCCATTATGTAACCTAAGGTTTCTAATTTGACTGTGACGAGCTCAACTATGATGATGGAAACACACTAACCAAGTCCTCTCTGCTAATGTACATCTTTCTGTACAACTACACTTCGTGATCTCTACACCCTTGGAAAAACACTACCTTCTGTTACATCACATTCTCAAGAAAGTGGCAATGTAGGATTTTGAAGTTCATACCATAGGTGCATCTAGTACGAGGCTGAGGGGTAGCACTGGTGATCACCTGAATTTTTACTTAATTTTGGAGAAGTCTCTCTGTCTATTCCCACTGCAGCATGATTTTGCCTTCACCGTGGGTCACTGTAGGTATGGCATTTGACAGGTGATACATCAATTATGTGTAACTGTCATATACTGAAGGCTAAATATTTTGATTAGTCAAATCTCAGTTAAATGCTTTAAATGTTTAACGCTTACAGATGTGTTTTTCATCAGTAATGAGATTGTTGCCTTTTGGGTCAGACTGCAGGAGCTGATCAAGCTGCAAAATCTGGAACAAAAGCTTGAGCCAATAAAGAGTCTCTTGCTGGACATTGACTTTAGGTAAGTTTGCTAATTTATGCATCAGTTGCTGCTTTCCTGTATATAATAAAGCGTTCCAGGTGTTTGCACAAAGGCTATTTTGTGTATATAAAATCAAGGTGAGAATGAATTGGACTACATTTCACTGAGTCTAACATGTTTATACTGCAATATTCACCCTCTTTGTGCATTTCAAAGAATGATGACTGAGCAGAACATGGTGGCATTTGAAACCGATGCTAATGTTTCATAATGAGAGAAGATTTCAGGACTGACTGAACGAATATATATGGACTGGCAGTACGTTTCATGACATTACAACCTGATCATCAAGGCCAATTCCAGCTGTCATCAGCCAGTAGAGTAGTGTAGCTTTAGTTACTATGTCGCAGTCTAAATTCTGCTATGTAGCTTTTCAAGGTAGTTGTATGAAAGGTTGTGTGTTGCTTTATGGAGAAGTTACCACAGGATGTGGGAATCTGAAGTTTAGCCATTCTTGAAATACTGTTGAATGACAGCCAGTTGTTGACTATATACAGATACCATCACAACTATTTGGCTACTTGAGAAATACTGGTTTTGTTTAACTGGACCTCCTTAAATTTTAATTGAATACCTCTGGGCTTGATGTTCCACATTGTTATAGTGGTGTGGTCAGACTTTTTCATGTTCTTATCATGGGCATTGAATGTCAGGGTACTTTTTTAAAAAGATTTTATCGATCTTTTCTCAGTGTGAAACCATTGTAGAAGATACATTTACCCCTTAATGCCTAGTGTATCATATGTGATACAAATTAAAACTCATATGTTCAAATAAATATTTCATTTTTTTTATTGCCAAAAGATTAAATAAACACTCCATAAATCTTTTAAAAAAAATTAGCAGTTATTTCATGGATCAGGCTTCAAAGGTCAAAAGCATATATACAGGCACAAATATGTACTTGTGTATATTTGAGCCGATGACCCTGGAATCAGATTTGGGGAGGATTTCATCAGACTTTCTGAACTTGTGTAAATCTATAATCCTTTGTAGAACCTACAGTTCCGAGTTTTCCATTGTTCTAAGTTTTGGTCTCATGAGTGCTGTCAAGCAAATCCTTTTTTTATGCTGGCAAAGATAAACTACCAGTTGTAGTCAGTTGATCAAATTATTTACAGGCCCTGTCAAGGTAAAAATAATTTCAGTGCCATCTGTTAAAAGATTTAAGTGCATATTTGAGCCTTTAGTCATTAAAGCTTTTATGCTGTACAATCGTTCTACGTAGTTCAAAGATATAACATTCATAGCATTCATCACAATGATGAGCATATGTAAACTTCTAAGCACAACTTTATGTAGAATATGATAATGGTATCACAGAAACTTCTGGGAACAAAACTCCAAGTGGTTTGGCCAGACCTGATTGTCCGGTGGTCTCAGGAAGCGTATGGCGGGGTACAGGGGTTGAGTGAACTGGTGATGAGCTCTGTCGAACACCGGTGTCATGGCTGCTGAGAACTTTTGCAGGACAACCATGTTTTTTGCATCGTAAAATATCAGCTGGCCTTTGTCATAATTAACCCACACTCCCACTTTTCTAATTGGAGTCTGCCCCACTCCTTGACATGATATGTGCCGGTTGTTGTGCCACGCGGTCAGATTGCGGCTCTGAAACTCCACGCACCATGAGTTCCTGTTTCGGCCCAGCTTGGCGCCCTTGTCATTGCCCTTTCTCTCAAGGGTGTCATAGGCTACACCCACAGCCCAGGCTGAGCAGCAGCGGACATTTACCTCCCAGTAACTCTGACCTGCTGTGATGGGAGAGGACCCCAGAGCACAGCATACCTTATCAAACTGAAGGGGATGTTCTGGAGCTGGGCAAGCAGAGCCAGAGAAGGACATGCCCCGCCCCTCTGATGTCACTCTGATCAGATTATGGCAAGACTGCCTGTCGATCATTATGGGGAAAGAATCTGAAAAGAATGAAATTAATGAGATTTTGATCTTTTGTTATTATCAGAGTTACTGTAAACAAATTGTAAACAAATGTATTATTACTCGTGATTGTAGCAGATGGCGCCGCATATTTGATTTGACAGGCTATTAGTGTTACAGGGTGGGGATGGGGGGAGAGGTCAAATTGCTTAGGAAGTGGGCTACTGGAGCACAGCATACATGGAAATGGACTGACAATATGGAACTGATGGAATGCTTCTAATGAGAGAAGACCAATGCATGTGGGAACTATGGATAAGTAGAAAGCCAACATCCACACTTATTAAGAAGCACCTGGTGGCTCAGTGCATTAGCATCAACAGCTCAGCAAACAGCTGATATCGGCTATTTGGATCTACTAAGTTGAGAGTTGATGGATTTGATGCCATGATCATCAATACCTATATTTTGACCTAAACACCATCCAACCCAACCAGTTTTTTCACACAATGACTGATTTATTTGTATATGCAGCAAATGAGTAATCTGGAGCAGACATCTACTGTAGATTGCAGGGGGGGGGGAAGAAAAACGTTTATTTTTTTTGGTGTTATTTTAACCAGATAAAGCATCCCTTGGTTGGCCTACTTTGTTCTGTCATGCTCCCAAAGTACACCTAACTTCACTCACTCTGCTGCTGTAAATGAGTTAGCCTGATAGCATGTAGATGTAAGCATCTTAGTACCTAAGAGTAGAGTCTTCCTCTGCAGCCTGGCCTTGAGGTTTTTGGCGATGGAGGAGAGTGTTTTTAGAAGCCTCTCAAATCTCTCTTCATTCAGCCTGATTTCCTTCTCAGACGTGTCTGGCTTCTTAAGGCTGGAGGAGTGGTGACAAAGATCAAAGTGAGGCACAGAGGTGTGATTTAGACCTGTACGGGGATGAAGCAGCAAAGGTAAAAGGTGCAGCGATTTACCTTGCAGTCTCAGAGTGACCCTTGAGATGAGACATAAGCAGAAATACTGGTTAAAATAAAAGAACACTACTTATAGCTTTGTTATTGAGCTGTATGTAAATCAGACCTGCTCGCCTTCCTTCGCTGTGGTGCTTTTACTCAACGTTCTCTGTATGCTGCTGATGCTCTTGGTGACCTGGTCGTGGTAGTTATCCCACTTCTTTAGAACCTGGTCCAGCTTGGTCCTTGTATGCCTCAGGTCCAGCTCCAGAGAGTCCAGGATCACCTGTTCATCCTGCTTCAAAATGCACCGCATGTTCTCAAAGTGCTCTCGAACCTGCTGCTTCATGACCTCTGTGGTCCTCTTCAGGAAGGAGCGTGATTAAGAGGACATGTTATTAGGGATTTATTATATATCATTGCTCTGTTTGCAGTCCTTGGACTTGGTGGTCAGAAATGTATTAGGTAATTTTTCAGTGCTGGTAGTTTTAGGTTTTTACTTACAGAGAGATCGGCCTTGCGTTTCTTCAGAGACTGGATCCGCGCCTCAGTCTTGGACGTTTCAGCCTGCAGCTCCTGGATACGTCTGGTTAACTGCTCCTGCAGACAACAGGACACTTTTTGTATCATAAATGATCTAAATGATCGGTCTTTGGCACCTGATGATTCTATGATCTATCTATCCCGTCATACTTGTTAATCAGTTCCTGCTGTTCTTTAAAGAGTTCGACACTAAACTGAGATTTATATGACAGTATTCCTTTTCTTTTTTTGGGGCTGCTGGTTGCTGAGCTCTTGAATAAAGAAAAGTTTTATAGAGAGAAAAATACTTCATGCAGCATTGCATTCGCGCCCTGGAGTTCCCCCACCCCTGACCTACAAGATGTTAATCCACAAGCCGGGTTTATGGAGATTGGCAGCACTAGAGCGACTTATTAATATTTAGCAGCTAGTTTTAATGCTATAGCCGATTGGTGTATGTTCCAGCCAATCAAAACATCTGTACCTGAGAGGGTTGTGCGGTTTTGGCAGCCTTACGCTGTAGTTTGGGTGAACGAGAAAAAGGTTGAATAGTGCCGTCACTGCTGGCGTCCAGTGGAGTGAAGCTCAGCCCGTCTTGCAGTAGGCTGTGGATGCCTTCAGAGGGCGCTAAAAGATTAGTGTAAACGGCTGTTGACGTTCCATTACCGAGGGAGCACGACTCTCTTTCTGCCATTTCTGAGGACTGAACAAAACAATAAAAACAGATTACATTTCTACATAAACCATTCTCTCATTTACCTTTATTTCAAAAAGCACTTTCTTGGGATTCTGCTGTGTATTTGTGTGTGTATAGATTAAATTAACTCGTCAGGGCTATGAAAGTTCGAGAAAACCTGTCATTTCATGCCAAGCCTTTACCAAAAATCTATTCCAGATCAGAGTTCCAAGTCTGACCTACTGTAATAATTTAAATAAAATAATAATAATTAAATCCAATGTTTGTTTTTTTTATTCAAGTTTCAAAGAGACGAGTCTGTTCTGTTGTGTACTGTTTAATAAGGCAGCATATCTGGACTAAAGGATATTCTTTAACCATTATCAAATAATGTTGTTTTAAGAACTTCTTACCTGAGTTCGCTGCTGTTTGTTTCTGTAACGTTGTGCTAGAAGTGCAGGATGGGTATGTTCCTGGGTAACAAGCTTCAGCTTGCAGCACATAGTCAGACACCTTATCCTTCCCTGCTGTGTTGTTACCTAATGTGCTGTATACCAGTCGTCAATAGGCTCAAACTTGTTCTTTCTTTTTTTTTTAACCAGCGTCCGGAAGCACTGAACAGCCTGTTGCATAATAAAAAGCCAAACAAAATCTTTCTGTTTCAGGTATGCTCAGTTCTACAGTCAAGATGAGTTCTGTCATTACAACATGTTTAACCATCACTTCTTTGGTGGAGAGGTAGGAGTTGAGCTGATGTCCTGCTAGTTCAGTCAAGCTTTCCGTCAACAGCCGAGTTTGATAAAGCCTTCTCTCTTATCAGTCATCCAGTGCAACCCTGAAGAACTTCCTCAGAGAGTCTGACGGGGAGAAGGTGGCAATGGTAGCCGACCCTCCGTTTGGTGGTCTGGTGAAGCCCCTGGCCAACAGTTTCTCTCTGCTATCTCACACATGGAAGAAGTTGCAGAGCTCTGGTCAGCACCGCTGTGGAACTTTCAGAATTAATTGTTTCTTTTTATATTTATGACTTGTGTCTTTTTTTTAATAGGTATAAGATGCAAAAACAAAACTTTATGCTAAAATGTTATCATAATTTAAAGTTGATATGGCTAACATGTTAGCAGACAGCAGCATTAAGATACATTTAGAAGCTCTATTGGGTGTTGGAAAGGAGGTTGGTTGAGAAGTGTAAGACTTTAAATTATACAGACTAACAGCAAAACGAGCTAAAAGAGGCAAAGACTAGATTTGCTTACAATTCTTTTCTCTGCAGGTTAGGGTTAAGCTAAAGTTATAGTAGCAGCAAGTCATTGCATGGCTCAAGGAAAGAGACTTTTTGTTTACTATTAGAACTATTACTTTAAATGAAGAAATCTAGTGTTTGACTGTAACATGCATGTTGTGTTTGTGTGTGCAGACAGCAGTAATGCTAACATGCCCATGATCTGGGTCTTCCCTTATTTCTTTGAGCCTCGGATACTGGAGTGTTTCCCATCATTCAGCATGTTGGATTACCAGGTAACAGCAAGGCAGCAGTTTAGAGTCATCAGCTAATATTACTCTCTGCGTACGTATAGCTTTAGGTTTTTCTAAACCAATAACATTAAGTGATGCGCAATAATATTTACTTGCATAGATACTCATAATTTTGTCGAATGAAAAATTCCACTGACTCGTACTCTACCCCTTATTATTTATGTTTATCAATCAAATGTGACATAGAGACAACAATTTATGCGCATTCTTAAATGGAAGTTATTTAAAATGTGCTTTTGGCTCCTGCTTCAGCTGCAGCATGCTGACTCACACATAGTTACTGTTATTAGACTACAAACCGAATCAAGGCTATGCTTTTTATCAATGCTCCACTTTCCCTAGATCCTCGAGCTTACTTTATTTATTAAATATTTCAGTGCACTTTACAGTGGAATATTATGGCCACAAAAACAAATAAAAGATTTAGAACTAGAAGTAATGAAGTTTCAGTTTTAAAATTTTCAGTTTTTCTTTTGAACCAGGTGGACTATGACAACCATCCTCTGTATAAACATGGAAAGATGGGCAGAAAACAGTCTCCTGTCAGACTCTTCACTAATCTTTCACCCAGAGACATCATCCTTCCAAAAGAGGAAGGTTACAGGTTACAACATGTTCACTCAGTTAAATCCAGAAATGTTCAGAAATAATGTTGGAGATGAGAATGTCTTAAAGTATATGTGATAAAACATTTGAATAGATTGTTATCGGTTTGTGATTTGATGTTAACTAAAAGGGCTTGAGCATAGACTGACCAAAGTCATGTTTTTGGTTAACTGTGGAGAATAAAAATCATCTGTTAATTTTCTCAACTGTAAGAAAATCCTCGCCATAAAAAGGGCAAAGTTATGAGCTACATTTAAAAGTGTTTAATTAAAGATATCATATTTAGCACAAAGTTAAGAAGGCGGTTTAATGGGGAAACTAATGGATGCATGAATTCATTGGTGTTATTTGTCATTAATCCCTCAGCTTCATTTTAAAAATGGCGTTGGGGTTTTTATTTTGGTATTTTCAAGACTTTCATATGTGAAGAAATGAACAGCTCATACCGCCAACTCCAGGTTTTCCTTGTGCAGTTAATAAAATGCATAAACACATGAGAGTTTTGTGAAACACAAACTGTCAGACGTCTGTCTTTTGTGTGTATTTAAGCAACTCTGCACATTTGAATTTAAAGTGTTTAATTTGTGAATGACCCTCTCGTTTTTAGATTTTGCCCTTTATGTGAGAGATATGTCTCATCCCTGAACAAACACTGTGCGAAATGCAACCTCTGCCCATCCAAGGTACGAAACTCGTGTGACTGCATTTTATTTTTAAACTGAAAAGGCACTGCATCAAGTTTCCGTTGAATCTTTGCATGTCACAACCTGTATTTTCTGTGTTTGCAGGACGGCCGAGAATGGAAGCACTGCTCAACCTGTGTGAAATGTGTGAAACCGTGTAGGTCGATTAATCACAGATGCAAACTGATGTGCAGTTACTGATTTCACGACACACTTCCCATATATTTCTTGTGAATTTATTTAAATATCTTTCCTGTAAGCCTGGGAGCACTGCCAGTCCTGTGGCCGTTGTGCCCTGCCAGACCACCCATGTACCACCCGTGAAGGGAAGGAGGGCTGCTTTAACTGCGGAAGCCCAGAGCACAAACGTAAAGACTGCTCTGTCAAACACACACACAGGTTCAACAGGTGAGCCAGGGATCTGTTCCTGTTAAGGGATAAATCTTGTCACTCCACTCTACCCGTAAGATTTAATATTTACACGTCTTAACTTGCTCGTCTGTGTTTTACTCCTCCAGACATCGGACCAAAGCCAAAGTTGGAGGAAAAAAAGGATCCCCCCAGTCCCTCCTCAGACTCAAAGCAAAGAGGAAGTCTGGTGCAGCTCGCAGAGCAAAGTTGTTGGCTGGAAAGTCTCTGTGACTTCAGTAGTCAGGCAGTACCTTCTCAGCTGTGCAATCCAAAGCAATATTTTTTCCTTTTCAGCATGGTTTTTTTGGCAGTGGTTTAAAGTGTTGTAACAGAATAAAACTTGAAGGGCGAGTTTGGTTTGTACTTTTCTTTAAATGCTGAACTGACAAGTAAAGCTTTCTGTGGAGGTTTCCAGGTCCACAGCTAAATTTCACATCCACATAATATGACTTTGTATTCAAGTGTTCTCAAAATACTAGCTTATCACCTTCAGCCAGTACAGAAACAAAGAGCAGTAATCAGTCCTTTTTGATCTCTGTAACGCTGCAGGTTTTTCCAGGGCCAGCTAGTGTACAGTGGGTTTTATGTTCTCCCCCTATAGGTGCAACTAAAGCTTTTTGCATTAATTGCCCATATAATGTAGATTGTTTATCATTTTGACTTAGTCTAATTCAGACCAATTTCATTTACAACTTAATTTCCTACAAAATTAAGAAAGACCCCAACAATCACACAGGCAACAAGATGCATTTAGCATGTTGGGTGATTTAAAAACTCCCTTTTAACAGGAAGAGACCAGCACCAGGTTTAGAGAGGAGCAGCTATTGGCTCAAATACACCTGCTGAAAGACGTGAAAACCCAAGAGCAGCAGCAAAATGGATAGAGAATATGCTGCAGTTCACTAAAATACGTGTCCTTGTGTTCACTATAGGAAAAATGGCTTTTCTCAAGTTTTTCAGAGCTCTGGACTTAAACCTGTAGGCTTGTTTCTGCCCTGTTATTCCCTTTTCACAAGCTCTTCCTGTGAGAGTATTCTGACATTAAAGATTTTATGGCTCAAAAAATTTCACCGCACTTCTGAGTATTTCAGCAATTTTGTAATTGCAGTTAAGAATGGCTTTATAATAGGTTTACAGTCCTTGGCAGGTGTCTTTGCACATTATAACCACTTTCTAAGAATGAACAGCAGGATCTTATGCATTTAATCGATCACTAGCATAGTTTAATTTTTCCTGTAGTTTCATTTTATAGCGTTCTACTGTTGCACCACATCTTGAGTTCATGTTTGGCCAGCTGATGGCAGCATTGTTGAGGTTTACTTAAAAATCTTTCCCACCAATCATTACATTTCTTTAAGTGTGATTTCTCCACACTGCAAGTCGGAGTACAGATATAGACATTGTTTGGGCAAGCGCTAATAGAACAGGGTATGCAGCACATCCTGCCAAAATTATGCACTGAACCTGACAGTAATGGTTCTGGTGATGATGAAAAAAAGACAGGAGTGTGACACTGCTGCTTCAGTAATGTTTACCTGGTTCAAGCAGTGAAGGCTTCCAGACCCAAGAGCACTTCCCTCTTCACGGTGGATGTAAACAGTGACTGATTTTATGCTTTTATTCTGACAGCCACCTTTGATGGAATGATCCTGTGAAGCCAAAGTGGTTCTTTATGTATCTTACTGTAGACTCACTGCTGAACATAGTTGAGCTCATACGATGTAATTCCTAATCACCCAGCAATCAAGTGGCTAATTGTTTCAAACAGAGTGTTTGCCTCTTAACAGAATTCTGAATGGGTAATATGTTTTTATTTTTAATATATTAATGTGTTCAACACTTTGCTACTTTTAGTTTTGTTATTCTGTATAAAACCAGAAGTCCAGGTAGAGGGAGTCCTCAGTTATATTAGTTAGAAACTGTAGGATATACTGATGATGACAGGTCAGAAAAGAAAAATAACACCGGGTACATTAAATAAAAACAGGCTTATGTTGCTGTCTAAGTGAGGAGAGTCAGATTTGGTGTCGAATGAAAGAGTGTCAAAAGTGAAAAGCTGGTATGTGCCAGGATGACTGTTTACCTTTTTTTGGCTTCTCTGTGTAAAATGCCATCACATTCGCAAAATTAACTTTATACTTGTAATTACCAGTTTTCAGTTTTCTTTGCTGACCCTGTTTTGTTTTTTTTGTTTTTTTCAAAAAGTGAAAGAAATCATCAACTAGAGAAGAAAGGTGGGAAGTTCAAGCAGAAAGGGGCAAAGGTCAGCGCAGGATTTAAAGCTGCTAAGCACTGCTGTGTGATTCAAATGCTAAGCAGGCAGAGAAAGATTTTTTTCTGATAGCCTTCCTCTATGAAATGTAAATTAGATGGAAAACAAGGGGGGAATCTAAAAAAATAGAAGCTTCCCTCAT